TTGTTTAGCTATATGGCTTTATTAGTTTTATATTTGAAGAAAGTGATATAATTTGATTTTTTGTTGGATTGGCTTTACAAAAATAAAAATTGAAACCAAAAAGCAAGGAAAGTTAAAATTGTGAACTAATAATCGAACAGATTCTTAACAATTGAAATAAACCAGTAAAATAGAGTCACTTATTCATCTACAAAAGGAGAGGTGTTGGTATGGAGAGTAGGATTTCATGGTTTTTTTCTGGTGCATATTCAATAAGTGATTCAACATTGTTTGATTTTTCGATTTTACCCTAGTAATGCATGCCCCCATTATTGGCAATCTCCATCAAAAGATTGGACTAATCAAAATTTCAAGAAGTATTATTTCGTTGAACTTTCCATGATTTTGTGCCCAAGTTGCTTTCCATGATTTTGTGCCCAAGTTGCAAGGGTAGCTTCTTATGAATTTCTTCGAAGTAGATGAAAAGATTGATTATCCCCTTTATGTTTTAATCATCAAATCATTTTATTGCTTTGTTTCTGTTTATATCTCAATATTCATCCTTCAAAGCTACGAGGTTGAACAAAATATTTTTTATCATTTTCTGAAGCATTTTAGCATTGTATGTTTTGCTACTATTATTATTAAACCATTGTATACTTTGGATGCTTTGAGTCCTAATATTTCTATTGATGTTCTTGGGAAGTTTTTAATTTGTCTCTAGTCGATCTAGTTTTCCTCAATAGCTTGATGAACTAATTATAGTTCCAACAACTATTTTGTTAGAGAAATTTTTTCATCCTCAATGAATTGAGATATTTTGTGATCGAGTATGATATACAAAATGATTTATTAATCACAAAGACAAAATATTATTTCGTTATAGACTTAATAACAAAACTTACAATTTTATATTTTTAATAGAGATTTTTTTTATTTAATATTTAGTTGAATAGGGTTTATTTTATTTTGAGGTATAGATGCCATATAGGGGAAAGCCATTAAATTAATTGCATCTCAAGCATTTATTACTTGAGAATACTTTTGATTAAGCTAGTGATTTTTTAAGAGTCATTAAAACATTTGTTAATATTTTTATTTTTTAAATTTGAGAAAATCTTGTTCAAAGATTTGATCTTTAAGAATTTCAAGGGAGATGTGATAAACTTTAAATCAAATTTTAGTAATGAAAGCTAAATGAAGAAAATGTAGTACTCATAATATCTTATGTTGAACTTTACATTTTGAAATTAAATTTTTGTTTAAGTTGACCAATTTGATTTAGAATATTGGGACTTATATTCCAACAATATAGGCTGGAGGAAATGTCTGGAATATGAGGACTTATGAGGTGATTGGAGTCAACTACAGCTTCGGATTCTAGAGCTAAGGTGAGGACTACCGAAGGATAATGCCTCAAACCTATGTTTAACAAAGTGCAAAGGACTTGCAAAACCTACACTTCATATAAGGCATAAGTCATCTCGACATCTCGATTTATAAACCTGTCTGAAAAAGGCTACTAGCCAAACTCACATAAATGCTTTTAAAACAATGAGGTCTAGTCTCAATGAATGTGAAGATTAGGGGGTTGTTTTGATTTAGAAGATAAGACTTACAACTTTACTTTTAGGCTAAGATGCCTAACCAAGTGGGTATGCAAAATGCTAACTCATTGAATGTAGATTTTTTTGCTATTTGATTTTTAAGTGAGGGCTTTCTATATGAGACATATTGACCATGCATAATCATTTTAATTTTAAAAACTTAGCTTGTAGAGTGAGTCATGCAAATTTCCTTTTTATTTAGAAAATTGGTTATCCTATGATTGATTTTAGATTATTCACATGTTAATTGATTGAAGAATTAGTTTTGTCCTAAGAGCCTTATGTATAACAAAGTCCAAGCCACTCCCACTCAAAGCAAGTGAAGAAACGTAGGAAAAGAATTCATTTTTAACATATATCCAGTAAACAATCAAAACATGCTTACATATATATAATTACTCTCTTTTAAGCTTAATCATCTGAAGAAAAATCATATATCTCTATTCTATTCACTTAAGGGAAAATGCCCATAATGTAGACAATCTAATAAGCATCATACCATACACATCAAACACATGCTCTTAAAAGAAAAATTTTAATTCTAGCATACCTACGGGCTATGCACTTAAGTGTGTATTGACTGTATGATATGTCACACTACAAGTGATGTTTTTGTTTTATTGGCGAATAAAAGATATTCAATTTTAATCCAAGAGGTTGTTTCACTTTAATTTATTTGTTACTTAAAATTTTTATTTTATTTTTTATTAGTTGAAATTTAGAAGGGTTATCAAGAACCCATAAGAGTAATCACTGCTTGTTTTGAGACAAGCCTGCTACTTATAAAATCCTAAGATCCAATGATGTATGCATTCCTCCTTTTGGGGTGGAATGATTCATCATTGTATCAAGAGGAACATAAATAATTTTTAGGAATTTTAGGTTTCTTTTAATGTTTGGATAAGAGGGAGATGTTTACCTATTAGAGTAAGGGTAAACATACTTAAGAGTTTAACTTAGGACTTTGTGAAATTAACCTACCTGGGTAAGGTGAGTTCAAAAAACAAGAGGCTCCTAAAGCATATCTAAGGGTTATGTTTTAAATGTCATGAGAGGAGAATGATCTCTTATTTTAGTTAAGTGAAAATGTTACTTAGAGCTTGGGTCTAAGAAGAGGAATTATTTACTTGATTTGGGCCAAATGAATAGGCTTCGACTTTGAGGCCAAAGAGGAGGCAACTCCTATTGGAATTGGGTCCAATAGAAGAGACTTATGATTGAATATCATTCTCACTTGATTGGAGATCATGTAAATGAAGATAAAAGATCCAATGTTTTGGAGCTAAGGGTTGGAGAATTCTCCTTAAATTTTAGAGCTAAGGCGAGGAAAATCACCTATAACTTAGAAGTTGGAGGAAAAGAGAGGAGACCAATAACTTTAGAGCTAATATTGGAAATCTTACAAGGCTTTTGGAGCCCATAAAAGTGAGAGAACATTTGTAGTTTTGGGACTACAAATCACGGAGGTCTCCTTGAATTTTATATTGAAAGAGAGGGATTCATTTGCTTAATTTGGCTTAGGCAAATATGAGCTAGGATTTTGATTCTTATGTTTGGGATCAAGATGGGTCATCAATTGATTTTGGTTCAATAGGTGAGGAAAATGATTTTACAGTACATCATAGAAGGCCTATAACACAACCGCCAAATATGTGAAATGATCCAACAACTTAAAGGCCCAACATACAACATGAGATAAATTACCCGACAACAAAGGGTTCTTTAAATATTACAGCAACAATAATAAGTTTTTATCCCAGTGTCCTTGAAATACAAAAGAAAATAAATGTACAGCTGCATATTTCTTTGGTACCATGATTTCTATACATTCTTGATCATTAGGATGCTTTGCATCAACAAAATTTAGAATTTGAAGATCAAATTTAAATTTTCAAAATGGTCATTATAACAGAAAAATTTTATGTTTTTGACAATTATAGACTTCAGTTAAAAGCAGGAGAGAGGAGTACGGGGTGGGGAGTGTTGGGTGGTTTAGAAAAATGAAGACATGTATTTGAATGTCATTAATTTTAACCTATAAGACTACAGTAATATTTTGATGTGTGCAAATTACTTGTACCTATCAAGAGGAAAGCATATTTTCTTGATGGCTGATAGCCTGATATAGAATTATAAACATTTTTTTTTTCTTTTAAAAAATTGTATGATAGCTTTCTTATCATAAAATTTCTAAATAATTGCAAGAAGGTTATACTTAAAAAGAAATATGACATTTTTTTGCTGTGAAAATGATTCCACAAATGGACCCTTGGTCTTTAAGGCTGCATCCAAAAGATTTTGAAAAATTGCTTAAGCATGTGATTTTAGGTTGGGGTAAGTCTAGTGAAGATGATCATTGCATCACTTGAATTTGCTTTAAATAGTAAACGTTAAATAGTTGGTGGTGGAATTCAAATGTGCAAGAAAAGATTAAAAATAAAAAGTTTTGTTATAAAAATTGGTTTAATTTTAAAAATTTTGATAATTGGAAAATATATAAAGTGGCTCGTAAGGATGCTAAGAAAGCAATATGCGATGCAAAGA